ACGACCGATATTGGATTTGATCGTTCCCCCTGGTGACGCAGTCTCTGGTGTTTGGGCTTATATAACGATAATTGCGATATTGCTTACAGCCATCCCTCACTACGTGGTGAGTGACGAGCAATTGTTCAGGGCTATCATATATGTGTTTATATGCAGGTACTCCTGTTGCCGATAGTATCATCAGCAGAATATGTGTTTCACATTTCTGTTGATGACAATTCACGACCGGCTGCATTACGCCGTTTTCTAGTCCGTCTAGGATGCATCGTCTTTACGGCGATCATTGCAGTATCAGTTCCCAACTTGTCAAGTCTACTCGATTTAGTGGGCTCGGTGACGATGGTGTTTATGGTTGCTATGATGCCTTGTATATACTACGTCAGAGTTAGGCAAATGAACGAAGGTGAACTATTGTCGTGGTTGGTCGTTTCGTCATCGTTAGTTCAGGTTCGCTCGGTGTCTACGTCCGCAAGCATAAACTAGAGAGCTTTATTATAGTCGTAGTCTTAATATGGTGTATACCAATGATAATCATTGGCACATACGGTGCTGTACAACACTTCGGTTGATTATTTAACTTTTCCTGTCAACTTTTTAGTCGTTTCGGAAAGTAAATTTTCCAAACAGTCAGGACGGAATTCCTTATACCGTTTCCTGAATTGCATTGAGTTGTTGGTTGAAAACAGTTTTCAATAAAAAACAAAAAATAATTCAATTATCACGTCTTCCTCCTCTTCGACCGACTTCTTTAGCGCTTTGCTGTCAATGAAGACTCAACAACGTGAGGTCTAACAGAAACGAAAACCGTTTACAGAGTTTAGCGTTGGCGAGCTAGAGTGACAGCTCGATAGCATCAGCTTTGTGTATTATCACAGACAATCTCCTAGACGGTGACGACACTTCACATACCTCCATCCTCGCCCGTCATCCCGTTGTCGTCATTTACCAACGCTATGCCAGAGTTAAAGCGAGATAGATCGCTAAGGTTGGTAGAAAGAACGTAAGAGACCTTTAGATCTCGTTCCCATGCTGTGCGTCACGTCACGTGACGTGCTACGGTCACGTCACGTGACGTGCTACGGTCACGTACAGTCGCGTGTGCTCGGTGGATTCTCGTGGCGTACGGAACTGTGATCAGCCCACCGTCATGAGGGACTATAGCGTTGTTGGGTTATTGCTTGTCAAATGGCCTCGGACAAGTTTAGTTAAAGTCGACTTGTTATTGACTCTTGAAAATGATGAAGACGCCCTTCCGGACAGTGTCACTAAAGTTGGTCGATAGTAGCGCGCGCCCAGCTGATCGATTTCTTCTGGGGTGATATAGAACGAAGTCTTCAAACCTCATTAATCCGAAAGTCTCATGTGAATGCAAACCTTGAGCCCGATGCGGTATGTTACGGTATCTGCAAGAGAAAGAATGGCGGTACTTCAAGTAGGATTCGGAAGCGCAGCATTGCACATGGCGCGCGCTACTTTTAGTGATAATAGACACGGATTTTAGTGACGCCGTCTGTGCGTCAGCCGTTTCGTTTGTTGTTCATGGGCGAGCGAGATTCATGCGTGCGAGTGACGTCGAATATTCTGTTCGTTCACACCTTGGTACTTGTCTGTAGCTTCGCTTAAACTTCACCCTTGGCAATGCCCATGCTAAAGTCGGCTTTGTTCGTATTTGCCGTTGCCACTGCTCAGACTACTGAGGTCTGCACTAGACTATGCAACATGTACGGCGACAATGAGTGTCAGAAACTCCACAGGGAATTGGAGTGTCGCGTTGACACGAATGTATGCCGCGATCTCTACTTCAAGGATGCTTCTCACACTACTACTTGCATCGATGGCGTTGATAAGGGATGTGGTTATGGTGCTGCCAGCGACTCCGTTCCATGCAGTACGGCACCTCCTAACTCCACCTGCGTCTCTGAGTGCAACAGACTTAATAACGATGCCTGCAAGAACCACCCTAAGGCCCGCGTTGAGTGCCGCTGTGACAGGTATATATGTCGTAATATGTATTACACTAACCAGCAGCGCACTGCCCTTTGTGTACATGGTATCGACAAGGGCTGCAACAGCGGTCTGCCAGTCTCGTGCCCTCCCGGCTCCTGTGACTAGGCGGCTATCGATATGATTCCTCCGTCTCATTGTTAAAACTTCTCTAACGAAGTACTCTTTATTTTTTCGCTTAAGAGTAGCATACCATTACTTCGTCAACAGATGAAGCATCTATCGACGTAGTCGAGTAATGAAGCTATCCTTCCAGTAAAAGTGTTTAGTTCCTTAGTGACAAGGGTATGATAGTCACAGTGCGTCCCCTCAAGGGATTTTCGACGTAATAGAAGCCACAATATTCACAAACGGTAGAATTATGCGAAAGTGATCAACAGGTGGAGCTTCCTCTTGTCATGTGCAACCTTTACAATCTTGGAAGTTGCGTTGTCTGTCTAGCGTTTGAGTTCCCGTCTGTGGATGATATCATGTGGATCGGCGTTTTCGTTGAAATCCCGAGACTTTGTCTTGTCCTAAACGAGTGAGGTTTCGTTAGTGCGATCCCGCAATAAAATGTCTCGACCAACGATATCGAAGAGCTATTCGTGGAATCTTCGAAATTGAAAAGAACAGCATCGATTCGTTCGAGAGCATGATAATATGACTACCCTCGATGAAATGATATTTCATGTGCAGCCATTCGAACGAGGGTAGAGTGCAGTGGGAGATACTCGAACATTCACTGAATTCAATGGAACCCCTAAGAGGCGCGTGATGTGATGTGGCGACTTTCATCCGTGACATTTTCAGTAATCCCCAGGTTTCCGTCCGGGGCCTTGCATAACATCAGGAGAAGAGCTCGTCGTGCCGCGAATTCATCAGCCCCAGAGGGACCATCCCTCGGGGAGTGAAAAACATTTTTTGGACACTCAGCACCACAGTAGTGGTCACTATGTGCTCTGCGATGAGCACAACAGTGACACGCAGCCTTGGACCGAGACGGTATACGCAGGAAGTTCATTTCGCTCCATGTCTTTCATTCGAATAAGAGAGTTGAATTGATACCCATCTTCCTCGTGATGATGCAGCTTTTCTACTCACAATTTGAACCAAGAATTTCTCCGAAGGTTCGCGTACAGGCGACTGCCCCGAGTCGGGAAGCATTAAAACACAGTCCGAAAGAGGAATAGAATCTTGGAGGTTGCAAGTCATTCATGCTACTGAAGAAATATTGCTCATAGAATCGAAATGTTTTCACTGCAATCAGTCTTCGTATGACGACGATTCCGACCAGGACGCTGACGATGACCAGGGAAATCTCGAGGCAAATGAGCACCACTTCGAAGCTTGTCAAACATGAACTAACAGAGGCATCAGTGTTGAAATATATGTTCGCTTTCATCAGCTGAGTCCAGGAATATCTAAACTCATATACGACTTCAGAAACGAACATTTCCTCATTATTTCATAATGTCACCGACACATGTTGTTGACCATGTAGAGCACGATTCCAATGACCTTACGGGCACATTGTTGATGTTAGCTCATCGACCTGAGCCCTGGTAATGAGGATAGCGATCAGCACAAAGAGTAGGGGGAATATAGATACGATCAACCAGAGGAAAAGATGAGGTACCTACGGAAAAGCCGAATACCACTCGAGCTCCAATTTGGGGACTCCACAACGATATCGAATAAATAGAGTAGATATATCGCAGGTGAAAAGACTGTGGAAGAGAGCCTACACGTTCTCCAAGGTTCCCACTGTAGCCCAAAGCGAGCCGAGGCCCCTCTAGGGCCAATACTATGATGACCATGGGCAGCAGAACTTGATACGATCTTTCATGAGCTTCGGCGGGTGCCCCCTGTATAATCATTTACAGTTGTGCGCTTTGACCTTCTCACTTTGACAATCCACGAAATGATCATCCCAGGAGCGAACAGTAGGGCGTCAAAGAGTACGTTAAGGTACAACAGTCGCTGTAAGAGGACCGAGCTGGTTACTGCTGTAAGGCGAACAGCTGATACAATTTTGTGGCGCGGTGATGATGACGCGAGCACTGTACCGTTGCCCCTGCTAGTATTGTTATTCTCTTGTTGTTCTCTAAGGGGCTGCATTGAGTCAATGCCTCCACTAGACATACTGTGGACAGTTCCGCTGACAGGTTCGATCAGCGAAGCGATTGAGTTTACTTAACGACTAACACAACGTTCGAACAATAAATGGTGTAACATGCT